GCATATCAAAACAATGCACCTATTAATCATCATTCACAATTAATCTCTTGTCATGTCATCAAAGCATTCTGAGTGGAGAGGTAAAATTTGGCACGTATGACTCAAATATCTCGTCCTTGAAAGTATTGCGAATCATTGGACAATGCGAACTGAGGACATGGCTGAGTAGTCACAGAACACGGTGCATCGGATTTCCTAGATCATTCTAACGGCTGAAGAGAAATCAGTGCTTCACCTACCACCTGTATATTTTACTATTCATTAACTTCGCAAATGTAACAACTTTCCTTCACATCATATGGGCTGTGAAAATGTTAATATCACTAGAATTACAAATTGATGAGCTTTAAACGCAAGCAGAGGCTTACTATACAGGCCAGAATTCAGCCATTTACATTTTAGTTAATATAATACCTTACTTGTCCATGTTGCCTTTCAGAAATTTTGCTAGGAGAAGATGTAAAGTGATCTGATTCAATGTGAGACTACTTAAGGGATGCAGGTTTGCCACTAATTCGAAGTTGTGCCCGTCTTTCTAAGCCCCTATTAGCCTCTGGAGACAATGTTGCTCAAAGGCAGGACTTAAATATGCATAGCTTTGTGGTCTTGGTCTTGTGCAAGCATAAAATAATTAGCGTTTGGTAAGAGTCACTTCGTTCCTTCTGGTAAAGAAGTCCACGCATATCCACTGGAGGTGGATACGTTTACCATAGCGGTTCACTGGAGGCTGTAGGTCAATACGCCCAATTCTTACAATGGTGCTGTCTCGTCAAACCGATTGACTTTGCACTGCTTACAGAAGAAGGTAAGAGACATCTTGGTCAAACGAGCCCCAACTAACCATTGTTAGAGAGCATACAATACTATCCGTATGAGGCAGGTCCTCATCTACGTTGACGATTATTGTCACTAACGTCAAGGAATATTGCGACAAAGTGCCAGACCTTAATAACGACATAAAGAAGCTACTAGTGCATTAATAAGCTACATTCTTCATTAAGAAACGCCTATTTAAACTCTCACAATGCTCCTATTCATACAACAATAAAAAACCCCCGCCTTCGCTCAGGTCTGATAGACTATTACAATTGGTCGGTGGGATGGAATTGAATTTTAGAAATAAATTTTTCGTAGATTTGCACTGAGATTGGATTTGCTTAATATAGGTCTCCCCTACAGTTTACAGAGGAACATACGATTGATTGACGCATTTGTTTCGTTGCTTGAACAAATATCAATAAAATGGCCTCATGTTGCAACCGATATTTGTGCTAAAATATCCTAGAATTATTCCATCTGATTTCAAAGCGATGCCGCATCATTAGTTTTTTAATACGTACTACTCTAGTACTCGTCTGTGGCCAGCCCCTCATTTCCGTGACATCTGTTTGCCAATTTCATTGTACCATCTTCCTTCAAGTAATCCCTAGCGTGCCGTAAGACAGCGTCAGCTGTAAATCTATGAAGCTTGCTTGAAACCCTTCTCAAGAAATAGGAAAGACGTAAAGTAGAATGAAAAAAGAAAAGTAAAGAGTGGATAAGTTGGTGAACATGCACGGCTTATCCGCGTCTCCATCACACCCTACTTCTACATGGCTTCCTTCCCATCCTCACTTCGCCATCCAACTCCCACTTCTTCCACACCTCCTCTCCTCATCTACGTCTAGCATCCCCTTCATTTACAACACTTTATTTCCTGGTATAACTTTACTACTGTCGCATAAGAGGGAGAGCATGACAATCCTTTTATGCCAATTCCGTTATATCCATTGCACTCTCTTCATTACTGTAGCCCTTTTGATATGGAAGAGTAAAAGAAGAACACTTAGGAAAGCAAATAGCCAAATTATTGCTCTTCCAGTTCTTTCTCATTCATTTCTCCCCCGCTCCTAATATCATCAAAAATCTTCTCTTCTCTCGATGATCCCACAGCTCTGCCTTGACGAAGAATCAGTGCTTTCAAGTCAGCTGAAATGGAAGGAACTAAAGTGGAGGTCAATGGAAAGGAATTGTAGGAAAAGTTTATGTGGAAACCGAGGGAGCCAATGTCTATAAACCCTATCCGCCGCATACACACCCTCATAAACAAGGCAAATGATCTGCCACTAATAGCTTTAATGAATGCCACGCCATACTAGTCCCAGTTTGGTTCTGGGCGCATAACTAACGTCTACCGTGTTGACTGACAAGTCTTCCTATGTCTGACAAGTTGACTACTCTTGTGACCAGAGTCGAGGATTATCAACCCCGGGAGCGACATCTACGGCCGATTGGTCTGTTGTGTAATTCCACGATAGCGTCAGACATGCGTTCTACAAGCTTCATGAAGCAACACCCCAATCCCTCCAAGTAATCCGTGGTTACTTCCAATTCAGTCATTCCTGGGATTAGAAAAAAAACATTTCTTGTGATACTTACGCCTTATGGCTATTTCTAGGAGCGCCACGGTTGCAATCACTTCACCATCATCTTCAGGATTAGCAACATGGAGAGAATGAGAGGTGCCATCTGATTGCGCTTGTGTGGAGGAGGCGTTTCTCTAAATTTGGGGACAGGCCTAGAGGCACCTTTCCCAGACGGATATTACATTTGTCATTCTAAAGGTGAAACAAGAGCCCTATTGAATGATGGAGGTAATGTTGATTATGAGTACCTATCAAAACAACTTGAGCACTCAAATAACCTCGAGAAGGATTTGCTAGCCCGCCCTCTCCCTATAACATATAAACCCAATGAATTGGAGGAAACGCAGAGTGAGGCATACACGAACGAAGTTTTAAGGCCAGGTATAATAAAAAAGTAAGTAGAACAAAATTAACTAGTTAATTATTTCCTTGATTTTTACCTATGGTTTGTGGTCTCTTACCTTTGTCAAGAAGAATAAGCACAGTAAAGTCCTGTGCACAAAAGTGAACAGACAAACAATTTACTAACACCACTACTCGTCGTTGCACTTGGCCACTGGTCCACAAATGTCACTGAGTTAAAAAGTAAAGGATTTGAACTCGTTTAAAATACTTTTAACACGCATGGAGGAGTTTTGTCCCCTTTAGCTACTACAGTTTACTGTGCATTAGTAACGAAAATGCAACAGTTGGAGGGAAGTTTTGTAGTTTGATAACCAAGGGAGGCAGTGATCCGTCAATCAGCAGTAAGGTGGCATAGAGAAAAAAATTTGGACTTGAAGAGGGAGGAGAAAGCAGGGGTTTTCTAATTACAGTTAAAGGGATATCTCCTCTCACTAATTCCCCATGGTAATCTCCAAATAACCCTTAATCGTGGTTCATAATTCTTCATCAGTAGGCAAGAACCAAGAGGGGCTTTATCAAAGTGGGAACCTCAGCAATTCATCTCCTCCACCCCACTCTGGAGAGAAATCTTTCAAGTTAAATCCATGCGGTGCAGTCATGGACCACATTTTCGTCAAGCTACCAAAACCTTCAAACCCTTTATGAAGCAGACAGGCTCGAATTGCTTCCATTGACATTGACCAACGTTTGCTGAAAAGTGGAATAGAAACTCGAGAAAAGTAGGAGAGAGCGCACCACAGCCAGCTGCATCGGATAGGCCAAAAGACAATCACCGAGGTCCTAATCAACCTCTTGCACGATTTCTGTCTCTCAGCCCATTACCATGTTCTCCAAATAGAGGCAAAATGCAAGACAACCCGTACCCTCAAAATTATTAAAAAAACATTGGAATAAGATAAATTTCTTAAATTGTAACAAAAATGAGAGAAGAAAAAGGAGAAGAAAGCTGTACAGAAAAACAACAGGAACACATTTAATGAAGCAGAGCTGTATGAAAACGAAAAGGGAAGAAACGAAGGAAATTTTACGATCATGGAAGAGGAAACACGGCATCTCTTAAATGCTTGATGATTTCCATGCCCACGCACAAGGAAAAATCGTATAAACTATTTTTTAAAAGATTTCCCCTCCCCCTCCTCACAAAAAGGCAGAGAGGAATGGAAAATAAGAAATAAAAACTTTAGTAAAAATGCAAAAAGATTAAATTTATTTTAACAGAGAACTCGTAGGTTGGAGAGCACTAGGTTAAAATTTAGAGAAAAAAGACAAAAAAGACGAAAAGCAGAGGGCTGGTAAAGGCTTGAGAAACACGCAGAGAAGGGAAGAATGAGGCTGGGTGGTGAGAGAATAATGGAAAGTTCAAAAAAACACTATTTATAAAATCTAAAGAAAAAAATCATGAGGAAGTAATACGTTAAATAAATAAACGTTACTTGAAGTTTTATGAAATTGGAAAAATTTGAACCTGAGAATTTCTTGTAGTCGCCTTATCCATCAGTTATCAAAATGCCCAAAAGGTAGGGAGAGAAGATGTGTGGGGTGGAGGAAAGAAATCCGGTTGAGAAGCGTGGCAAAAAAGAAATGAGAGAGTGTTGATGAAATAAATCAGTTAACACAGGGTGACGTCTTGCCAGAGATTGACAATTTGGCAGGCTTGAACGCATCAAAAGGCAGTAGACTGATAAATCAGCTCTAAGGTCATTTATTTGAGGCTATTCAGAGAACTAATACTCCATACCTAAACGGAGGGAGTCAGTCAGCGAGCTTGAGGCGAAGAAGAATAGAGGTGAGAACGAGAAGAAGAATGGAGAGTTCGGTGGATGTGGAGAAGGAGGTAGAGGTGAAGTTGGAGGCGAGGGCGGAGGTAAAGGTGGAGGCGGAAGCGGAGGAAGGAAAGATGAAGGTGAAGAGAAGAAGAGGGCGAGAATGGTTGAGGCGCATTCAAGCTCGTGTAAAGAGCTGCCTTTGTCCACCCTTAATCCGTGCATGTGTTCTAAAGAAGACTGAAGCGTTATGATTGAATTTACACGTAGCATCATATTATAAAGGACATTCCAAATATGCGTAATATCACCTCACATGTAGTTTTGCTTTTGCAATTATTCGCCTAGCAGAGAAATCCATCCGCAGCACCAGCACAAGATGACAGATATTGATCGTCCTCCTATTATTGCATTGGTTTGCAACGCTAATGAATTCACGATGAGGCACGGAGGAGAGTAGAGAGGCAGTTAATACAAATTATCCTCTTCCATACAGTATTTAAGACTGCAAAGTTGGATTATATGGACCCCTTTTTATTGTCTTTGCTTTCCTCCATTCGGTAAATTAATCCTTCTGATGTAATGACTGTTGCATGTGGTGAGGTGAGAGCTGCACCTACGGCAGCAGCAGTATCAACGACGAAGTGGATGGTGGGTGGTAAATTGAGAATTATAGATGTAGGTGTGGATGGAGAAACGAAGAGCGAGGTGAATGAGACAGAGGAGTTGGAAGAGAGAGGAATTAGATTGAGAGGTGTTCAGTGCCGATCAGCGCATTCTTGCTCGCGCGTGGCATTTTGCCCTGTGTAACTAGGCCTTTTGAGGCACGGATGCAGATTGTTCAGCACATTCCGGTTATTTTACCTGTGACGGCCGCTAATATTGCAAATATATTTCGCATTTGTTGTTTCCTTAACTTTAAACCTT